TCAGAAAATGTATTGTTGAAAATGTGAAAATTTTAGGTTTATATTTAAAATTATTTTATAAGAGAATGTGTAGTTGAAAATGAATTTAAAAAAAAAAACGCTTATTTTGCTTTAGAATTGAGAATTGAATCTAAATTTTGTTAAATAAGTTGACTACTTACTTAGCAAATTAATTGACAAATAATTAGACTATCATCACATCACTATTTTCGTTAGTTAAAGTAGATTGATGAATACGCGAATTCATATGACTTCAAAACTTCGTTTTCTCATAGATATTGTGTCCCTTACACATTACTTATTTTCCAAAAACAAAAATCTTCATTATTTTCAAAAGGCACTAATTTGGTGAAAAAGTAAAAAATAATTATTTAACTTTTCGTCCTTTATAAAATCATTTTTTTCAACGTACAAAAAAGTATATTGAGTACATTACGCATATGACTCAACCAATGAGACATGGGCGGATTTAGAGGTGGGCTGCACTTGGCTGCAGCCCACTGTTGACCAGGCCCAGATAGTTAAAAAAAAAAAAAAAATTGTGTGAATTGTAGTCCAATAGCTCATATGTAACCACATTAGCCCACCAACAATTTAATTTAGTGGGCTAGTCCACCTGAATTTTTTTTTTTTGTGTTTTAATCTTTAGCCCACTAATTTAACCCAAACCCACTTAAATGTATCAATTGATAAAATCCATTTATCTCATTTCTTTCCATTCCTTACCACGTGGACTATAAGTTTTGCAAAATCAATCGAAAATGAAATCATTCCCAAAAATCAAAAACCCTACATCTCTTCCCCTTTCCTGGCCCTGCCCGTAGCCGCCGTCCAGCCGACCTGGACCGCCGTCGCCCGTCAGCCCGTCGTCGAGTGCCACTGTGTCGCCGACCCGCTGGATCGACCCCGCAGGCCGCAACCGCATCCCATCTTCCCAATTCGGCAGTTCCCACATTCTTGCTTCAGCCGACTAAGTCGAGGTTTGGAGGTTCCATTCTGAAATTGAATCTTCATTTTTAATCTTCATTACAGTTAGTTAATCATTAATTATTTATTTATTTGCATTTCACAGTTCACACTAATGAAATAGATAATCTATTTCTCTATGACCTCCTTTCTATGAAAGAGATAATTTGTCATTTTGTTGTAATTGGAAAAATTTTGAACAATTGATGAGAATGGGTTTTGTTACTTGATGGATTTTGATTGTGAGCAGTGAGTTTGAAATGAGAGAATTTTGGTTTTGAATTAGAACCCAATTCTTTCAAAATTTGGGTGAAATAGGATGCCTTTAATGTGTTTGATAAATTCCCCTCAAAATTTCACTGATGCATAGGGTGATCTGTTGTGGAGTCTTGTGGTGATTAAAATTGACATTTGGAACGGAAATCGGAATCTTGGATTTCTGTGGAAAGTGGAAACTGATTGGTCCAAACTGGATGAAATTGGAAATTACCGAATACGTTTGTTTAGTCTCTAATATTTAGCCAGTTTTCATGCTGATTGCTTATGCTTGCTTTAAGAAAAATTACTTATTTTTGATTTATATAACATTCTTAAAAGTAAAACTATTGTTTATTTTTGTATAATACTGCGTGAAGCACTGGAGCATTTTCATAGGCATTATGATACTATTTTCATAGTTTTTTTTTTGGATTTTTTTGTTTAATTGTAGGTGACGCTTTTGATTTTTTGAAGTATTGTGCTATTTGCTAAGAAAAGGGTCCAAAGGCTAAAAGGGTTAAGGAGGTTCAACTTTTCAAGGTTGGTTCTCATTTCTCAATCTCTGACATTGGATGAAAAATCTCATTTCATAGGTTATAGCAAATAGTAAATTGGTTTTATATGGTTATGGTTTTATCAATTTAAGTTTATGCCTTTATGTGATATTGAAGTATCTTGTTTTTATGCTTTTAGATTTAATATGGAAGAAGATCGACGTTCTAACAAGAAAGGAAGAACCTTGTTGTCTTTTTTTTCAAAAAGTAATAAATCTCAAGATTCTCCAATTCCTACGGCGCCCATTCCTCCAATTTCATCCCCAGAAGTTGTACGGCCTTCATCTTCCAATCTTAATACGGGACCTTGGAAAAAGAAAACAAATATGTGAACATCCACGTAACGAACGCGGTCAGATTAGGCGAGCTTATCTAAATGTTGGACCTTATCAACCAAAACCTTTGGAGCATCAGAGCAAAGAATGTGGAAAGCAGAAATGTCGATTTCAGGAACGTTGGTACAATCAGTTTCCTGGGTTGGAATATTCGCCTTCAACACATAAGGCATATTGTTTTTATTGTTTCCTCTTTCTCAATGAGAGTACTCCACCTAATATTTCATCGTTGGTTACTATTGGGTTTGATAGCTGGAAGAGGGTTAACCAAGGAAGTAAATGTGCATTTCTTATTCATGTTGGTACAACATCTTCGTCGTTTCATAATTGCTGTAAGAGAAGTGTTGAAGATCTAATGAAACCAACTCAACATATTGACAAGGTAATGCATTCTTTATCAAATGAGGAAATTCAGAAAAACCGTTTGCGTCTAAAGACCACCATTATGAGTGTTAAGTGGTTAGCACTTCAAAGTTGTTCCTTTAGAGGCCATGATGAATCTCCATCTTCATTGAATCGTGGGAATTTCATTGAACTGGTGGATGCATTTGGAAAAATGAATATTGAAGTAGGAAAAATTGTATTGGGTAATGCTCCCAAAAATGCTACATACACATTTCCAGACATTCAAAAAGAAATTTTGAACATTATGGCCAACAAAGTCCGACAAACAAATTGTGGCGAAATTGGGGTTGCAAAATTTAGTATTCTTGTTGATGAAGCACGAGATGAATCTTCACAAGAACAAATGGCCATTATCCTGAGGTTCGTCAGAAGTAATGGAATTTTGACAGGGCGTTTTTTTGCAATTAAAAGTGTCAGTGACACTACCTCATTAAATCTTAATAATCAAATTTCTGATGTTCTTGTCCGTTTCGACCTCCAAGTGAAAAATATGAGAGGCCAAGGGTACGATGGTGCTAATAATATGCGTGGTTCTTGGAATGGACTACATGCATTATTTCTTAAAAATTGTCCATATGCATTCTATGTCCATTGTTTTGCCCACCGTTTACAACTCACATTGATTTCTGCAGTTAGGGATGTCTCAGATATTAATTCATTTTTTTCTCATTTGGATAGTGTTATTAATATGATTACATCATCTCCTAAGCGCATCAATGAGTTGAAAAGTGCCCAAAGAAAAGAAATTGAGCATTTGTTGGAAATTGGAGAATGAGAGTCCGGAAGTGGTGCTAATCAGATTGGTAATTTGCAACGAGCCGAAGGTACTCGTTGGCCTTCTCATTACAGCTCTGTAAAGAGTTTGATTGATATGTATGCTGCAACTTGCAAGGTGCTTGAGTATCTTAGTGATCATTCTCCAAATGTAAGATCTCGGTCCGAAGTTGGTGGTGTGTACAAAACCATGACAACATTTGAATTTGTATTTATTTTAAATTTAATGCGTAAAATATTAGCAATTGCGGATGTGCTTTGTTAGACCCTTCAGAAGAAAACTCAAGACATCTTGACTGCTATGAGATTTGTCTGTACTACAAAAACTATCCTTCAAACATTGAGAGAAGATGGCTGGGAAGAATTTCTTGAAGAGGTGAAATGTTTTTGCTCAAAAAATGATATACATGTACCTGACTTTGATGCTTCGTATATGGTTGGTCGTTCTTGTGGTCGTGAGTATCCTACCGTTGAACATCACTATCACTTTGATATTTTTAATGCAGCCATTGATTTTCTGATGATGGAGTTAGATACAAGATTTAATGAGACATCATTAGAACTCCTTTCTCTCAGTGCAGCTTTGGATCAAAAAGATTCTTTTGAATCATTTAACATTGATAATATTTGCAAGCTTGCAGAGAAGTTTTATCCCGAAAATTTTTCACAGCAAGATATTTATTGTTTGAAAGTTGAGTTGCAACATTATCAGAATGATGTGATTTTCGAACCTCGATTTCAAGTACCTACACTTTCTGATTTATGTCGAGAATTGGTTGCAAGTAGAAGGTCGGAGAGTTACGTCGTTTTGACTAAATTGATTTGTTTAGTACTCACACTACCTATTTCAACGGCGACTGTGGAGCGAGCATTTTCAGCAATGAAACATGTGAAGACGAAAATTCGTAACAAAATGGATGATGGCTTTCTTGCTGATTGTTTAACACTAAATATTGAGCGAGAATTTAGTATGAATTTAGATCTAGATTCTATAGTAGATGAATTTTATGCTTTAAAACATCGTCGGGTACAACTACAATAGGTAACTTATATTATGAATTTTTCTTATTATATATAAATTTTATTTGTAGTTCGTACATTAAATTTTTAAAAATTTTTGCCCCCCGTACCATGAATTCCTGGCTCCGCCCCTGCAATGAGACCACAAATTTCCACAAACGGGAATTACTTGCAGTGTCGGGATGGTTTAGGGCCAAAACATTTGTATACTTTTATAAATTAAGCCATTGTCAATTGTTACATTCGGCCGCCCAAAGTAAAAATTACATTAAAACTTCTATAAAATAATAATGGTGGAGTCGATAAAAATTAACATTGTAGAGGAGTTATTACTTTATCGATAAATGAATAATTTATTAATTTGTTGATAAATGAATATTTATCAATTTATAGAGTATTTTGTATTTAAAGGATACTCAATACACCTATCAATGATGATTATGATCTATATGATAGATGTGTTTTTACCAACCATTGCTTCAAAAGAGGCATTTCGAGTAGTCGTAACATTAAATAATAACTTTGTGCAAAATTTAAAAAATATGTTAAATCTAGTATGTGCATTGCAAAAAATTAGAGATGAAGTTGAATTCACTTTGGTTGCAAAGAAAAAGCCAAAGACTTTTAAATGTACATATTGTAAAAGAGGCGAATTGAAAAAATATTGTCAGATTTAAAGTTTGTTAATTTGTATTAATATGAACATTGTGATTTTAAACAGTTATTATTTTATATATTTGCTGGACCTTAAAGGATCTCAAAGAAATTATTATCTTATACATTTTAGCAGGATTATTAATTTAGTACACTGGTCCAAAGTCGAGACTGAATAATTTTATTATTTATGTGAAATTATTAATTTATCCAACATTCATTTACCGAGATTTCACTGTAAATTGCTTAACGTCATGCCAAAATTGACTTTAAGTTTAACTAGAAGATGAAGATATATAAATATGTTTTATGAGAATTATTATTGGTTTGCGCATCTGATTCTAGAGAAAGGATCGCCTTGCACTAGGAAATAATTTGATTTGAAGACGAGTTATGTTCTCATTGCCAACGACATCTTTATGAGTGCAACTGTTTTATTTTATCAATAAAATATTGACATCTCAGTATAATTTTAAAATATTAAATTTCAGAAATATCAAAACTACACGAAACTACAATTTTTAAGTTGTCACATCAAACGTTAAAGTTACAATGAGGTGACAAAATTTTATTGAGCCACTGTTTGGAGGACATTTTTTGGAAGAAGAAAATTCATTTTTGGACCCTTTTTTGGTCACCTCGACCTCGCGAGAGTGTACTAATAAAAAAAAAATGGTTGCAAATCATGCTAACGGTAGAAAAATGAAAATTTTGGCCCAAAAAATGCCCTCGAAACACCCTCTGAGAGCACTGTGAAAAATATAAACCAATTTGATAAATCTAACATAGGAGAAGAGCTAAGAGAAGGAGAAAGAAAAGTGATTGTAGGAGCATCCAAAAATTAGGGTAAACAATGAATCAAATAAGTATATATATTACAAGGAAACCTATAATAATAAGGAAACTAAATATTATGCTAAATATATATTATTATATATATTATCATCCCACTCAAACCCAGGATACAAAAGCAAGAAGTAGCGAGAGTTTATCACGCAAGAAGTGAAAACGATGAATCGGGTGGGACTTAGTGACTTAGCAAGCTGCAATGATGAAGAAACTAAAAGGTAGAAAATGGTGCTAATCTACAGATGATGACGGATCAAATGACAATCAATCTCAATATGCTTCGTGCACTCATAGAATACAGAGTTGTGAGAGATCTGAATAGCACTTGTATTATCACAATACATAGGGGTTGGGAAAGAATAAGGAACACTCATGTCTATAAGTAATCATCACAACCACACAATCTCAATGATAGTGGATGTCATAACTCGATACTTCAGCCTCAGTATGTAAATGAAAAACAAACAACAATCTACTTCTCACTTTTCCAAGAGATAAGAGAATCACCTAAAAATATACAAAATCCAGTAGTGGACTTGCAATCAATGGGGTTACTAGCCCAATCAGCATCAAAGTATGCACAGAGCACTAAAGAGGAGGTTGATGGAAATAAAATATTCTGAAAGCAAGTACCACGAAGATAGCACAAAATACGAAAAACAGTTGTCCAATGAATTGTAGTAGGAGTTAAAACAAACTGACTAAAAATGTGATTAGCATAAGCAATATCGAGATATGTGATGATAAGATAAATCAGACAGCCAATAATGATGCTATACAAACTGAGATTGGTCAAGGGTACACCGTGAGAGAGTGAATATCAAGCGTTGGACTCAAGTGGGGTATCAACAGACTTAGTATCATTAAGACGATCATGCTCAATTACATTCATAGTATACTTGGATTGGAAGAGAAGTTAACCTCCAGGAGAAGAAGCAACTTTGTTCCCTAAAAAATATGATAATGCACCTGAGTCATTCATTTCAAAACGACAAGCCAATTCTGATTTCAGATACTTAATCCCATCAACATCATCACCAGTAATAATTATATCGTCAACAAACAGCAAAAGGAAAATGCAACTAGTTGGAGTGCATCTAAAAAATAAGATAGAGTCATGATGACTGGATGTAAAACCAAAAGAGGTAATAACAATGAAAAATTTTCCAAACCAAACACGATGTGCTTGTTTAAGACCATAAAGTGTCTTCTTGAGCTTGCAAACAAATTTAGGAGAGTGAGAAAGACTAGAAGGAGGAGCCCTCTTGGCAATAGGAGCAAAAGTCTCCTCATAATACAAATCATACTGTTGATTAAAACCTTTAGCAATCAATCTAGCTTTGCTCAACTGAACCGTTAGATTTGGTTTTAATCTTACTAACCCAAAGACAACCAATAGTATGTTTACCTGAAAGAGATGCAATTAAGTCCCAAGTGTCTGTTTTATGCAAAGCAAAGAGTTCATCAGCCTAGCCATTTGCCAAAGAGGATCTAGAATGACTTCTTCATAGAAAGATGGTTCAGATAACTCATAAATGCAGGTTATAAAGCAACAAAAAGACTCAGAATAACAAGAATAAGCAAAATCAAGTAATTAGGTAACTTATGAATACGTTGAGGATATTGAGGAAGAGATGGAGCAAGAGTTGAATCAACAATCTTAGGCGGTGCTTGGGAAGCTATAGAAGGAAGAGAGGTATCATGAGCTGGCGTATGTGTACCTGCAGGATATGAAGAATCAACAAGTATATGGGTTATGGAAAGGAGACTGTTAATATCATCAGAGAATGGTTCAATACGAATGAGGTCAATTTTAGTTACGTCATGAGTATCGTCAGAAATAGAGAATAATGGAATGTGCTCAAAAAATACGACATGAGAAACATATAATTTATTTTTAATGGATCAAAATAGCGATAACTCTTTTGTCATTGCCCATAACCCAATAAAAACATAGATAGTAGAACGAGATGTCAACTTACTGTGTTCGATTTCAGAATGGATAACAAAGAAAGTACAACCAAAGACTCTTTATAAGAAGTAATCCAGAGGATGCTCATACAATATTTTTAATGTTGATAAACCTAAATTGTAGAAAGATGGAATCGTATTAATTAAAGGAGTAAGAGCTTCTTCTTTCCAAATTCAGTGAGAACTTTGACTGACAAAAGAAGTGAACGAAAAGTTTCTACAATGTGCCCATGCATTCGTTCAGCAACACCATTTTATTGTGGGGTATTAATACACCAGATTTGATGAATTGTGCCATCAAGAACAAGCAATTCAGAGAAATCAGTTGAAGTGTACTCTTCATCCAAGTTATATATGAAGCACTTAATTATAGTGGAATATTGGGTTTTAATAAGTACTCTAAAGGATCGATAAATAGAAAGAACGTCAGATTGTTGTTTCATAAAATAGACCCAACAATAACAACTATAATCATCCATAAATGATATATAATATCGTAAACCTCCTTTTGTAGCAATAGGTGCAGGTCCCCACACGTCAGAGTGAGCAAGATCAAATGTTGCAATAGAATGAGAAGTATTTCGAGAAAAAAAGGTAAAGCAGAAAATTTTTGCTAATTTGAAATCACTACAATCAGAAATGTCATGAGTTGTATATTTCCTAATTGATCCTTAGAAACTAAAAATTTCAAACGACTAGCGAAAATATGTCCAAGGTTAGAATGTTGCAAATAAAAATTAGAAGACAGTGACTTCAAAAAGAAATATGACAAATCAACACCAGAGACTACAACCGTGGTGGTCTTAGATTGTCCATAACATATAATTCTCATTGTCTATGGCATATCCCAATCAACTTCTGAGATTGAGAATCCTAAATATGACAATTAGTAGAAGAAAATTGAACTAAGTATCCAGAATCACAAAATTGGCTAATAGAGATAAGATTCAAAGTAAGAGCTGAAAATAATAGACATTTGAAAGTAATAAATTATGTGATTAACAGAATCAACACCTACTAAAGGCAATAGTGTGCCGTCAGCAGTCATAACAGGCATAAATGGGTTAGAAGGATGCAGGTCATTAAAGAATTTTGAGTTAGACAACATGTGTTCGGAAGTACCTGAATCAAAGATCCATGAGGAAAAAATACTTGAGGGACTCTGAAATGATAAGCCTACATAAGTGGAGGCTAACATAGCACGTGGTTGTGTGGCCAAAAACTTCTAAAAATGCTCTGCTAAATTCGCCAACATGGGACTGAAGTCAAGTAGTGCTCCAAGTATAGACGAGTCATTAGGTGGTATGTTGGTAGCTATGCTAGCATTGGGACGATAGATGCTATAGTTGAGGTTACTACTTTTTCATAGCTTAGGACATTGAAACATCCAATATACTTTTTGTTTGCAAAAGTTACATTCATAACTAGCAACTCCCACATAATCTTTGTTTTGATTCTGTGTGGAATTCGAGAGGATATAGCCAACACTGAGGTGCTAAATATAGGAAGAGATACTTCTCCTGTAAAAGATTTCAAACTTATTTCCTT